CTCGTACCATGAAATGGCATTTTTCCCAATTGAGCACCAAGTTAGTGTCAACACATCTCTGCAAGATATTAGACAAGTTGGTTAAACAATCATCAAAAGAGTTCCCAAAAACAGAAAAATCGTCCATGAAAACTTTAATGGACTTTTCAACCATATCAGAAAAAATCGAGATCATGCAACGTTGAAAAGTTGCAAGAGCGTTGCACAAGCCAAAAGGCATTCTTCGATAGGCGAATGTTCCATATGGGCACGTGAAAGTCGTCTTCTCTTGATCTTCCGGTGCTATGCCAATTTGGTTGTAGCCTGAATATCCATCTAGGAAGCAGTAGAACTCATGGCCCGCTAACCTCTCCAACATTTGATCGATGAATGGCAATGGAAAATGGTCCTTACGAGTCACAGAATTTAGCTTGCGATAGTCTATACATACTCTCCATCCCGTGACTGTTCGTGTCTAAATCAGCTCGTTGTTGTCATTTCGGACCACTGTCATTCCTCCCTTCTTTGGTACCACTTGGACTGGACTTACTCATGCACTATCCGAGATTGGGTATATTATTCCTGCATCTAAAAGCTTCAACACCTCCTTCTTGACCACTTCTTGCATTAATGGATTCAATCTTCTCTGTGGCTGGACAGTGGGCTTGAAACTTTCCTCCATTAAGATCTTGTGCATGCAGATTGAAGGACTGATACCTTTGATATCCGCAATTGTCCATCCAATGGCCTTCTTGTACCTTCTCAAAATGCACAGCAACTTTTCTTCCTCTACAACACTCAAAGAAGCATTAATAATAACTGGAAAGAATTTACCCTCTTCTAAAAATGCATACCTTAAAGAGGTGGTAGTTGCTTGAGCTCAAGTGTAGGCGCCTTTGTGATTGGTAAAGTTGACTGAGACTCCACAGCCCCAATTTCTTTGATCAATTTGGCCTTGGGACGACTTAAGGGTGGTAGCGCTTTCAAGTATCTTAGACACTCCCTTATCTCTTCACTATCCACTTGATCCTCCTGGTCTCTGGAATTCATCAAACAATTCTCTAAAGGTAGGATTAGGTAGTTCTCTTCAAAATTCTGCTCCACTATGGTGTCGAGAACATCAATCTTAAAACATGAATCTAACTCAGACGGACGCTTCATAGACTTGAAAACATCAAATTCTACATGCTCATCTTCTACCCTTAAGATCAATTTCCCTTGGTGGAAATCTATCAATGTTCTACCCGTGGCAAGAAAAGGTCGCCCTAAAATTAAAGGTATTTCTCTATCTTCCTCCACATCTAGCACTATGAAGTCTACTGGGAATATCAGTTTATCTACCTTAATCAAGACATCTTCGACTGCCCCCCTAGGATATGTGATCGATCGATCAGCTAGTTGGAGAGACACGGTGGTTGGCTTTACTTCTCCCAATCCAAGCTTCCTGTAAATGGAAAACGGCATTAAGTTAATACTAGCTCCTAAATCGCATAGCACTTTATCAAAATAACAACTACCAATAATACAAGGGATAGTAAAACTCCCTGGATCTCGTAGTTTAGGTGGTAGTTTCTTTTGAATCAGTGCACTGAATTCCTCTGTCAGCATGACTTTCTCGTGTTCCTCGAATTTTCTCTTGTGCATGAGGATCTCCTTCAAAAATTTCGCATACTTTGGCATTTGTTCAAGCATATCAACAAAAGGAATATTAATATGTAAACTGCGAAACATGTCAATGAACTTACCGAATTGCTTGTCGAGCTTCTGATTCTTCAACCGTTGTGGATACGGCAAGGTTGCCTGGCTTGAAGGATTATTCTGTGCATTTGTACGGTCGCTGCGGTCACCAGATTCATCGCCACGGCGATCGTTCTTTCTCTTGATGGAATCCTCTGCAACTTCATGCTCGCCGCGGCCACCATCTTCTTCGCCGCGGCGATCGCTCTTTTGCTCATCCCTTAGGTTTTGTTCTATCCTCTGTTTTTCACCCTCTGAATTTTCCAAACTTCTTCCATTCCTCAGGGTGATTGCATGTGCCTGTTCCTTGGGATTTTTCTCTGTATCACTTGGAAAAACCCCTTGACCTCTTCCTGCTAAAATGTTATGAATCTGCCCAATTTGAGTCTCCAGGTTCCTTATAGATGCAGATTGATTTTGAACCAGGACGTCGGTCTTCTCAAACCTCTTGCTTGTCTCCTCAATGAACTTGGTTAATGCATTTTCCAAGTTTGATTTCTGCTCTTGAGGTTGAAAAACAGGTGCTTGTTTTTTCTCATTGTTGTTGCTCCATGAAAAATTCGGGTGTTTCCTCCATGCTGGATTATACGTATTGGAATACGGATTCCCTTGCCCTCTTTGGAAATTGTTGACGTAGTTGGCTTGTTTAGGCTGAGCAAACTGATTTCCTTCTGGGCAATCGTGCTACGCATGATTTCCTGCATAAAGGTCACATGTTAGAGAGGAAGATTCAATTGCATTTATCTTCAACACATTACCTAATTGCTTCTGGATGCTCGTTAGTTAAGCAGCCAATGTAGTGTAACTGTCAACTTCGTGCACTCCCGCTGATCTCCTTGTTGAATTTCTTTCCGGGGTCCTCATATAGTTATTGTTCGCCATCACCTCAATCAGATTGTATGCTTCCTTTGGCGTTTTATTGTTCAAGGCTCCCCCACTTGCCGCATCAATCATAGCTTGAATGGTTGGTAGCAACCCTTGGTAGAACATTTGCACTTGTGACCAGATTGGTATACCATGGTGTGGACACCTCCGTAAGAGATCCTTAAACCTTTCCCACACTACATACAATGATTCTAAATCCTGTTGATAAAAGTTGGTAATCTCACTCCTTAGTTTGGCCGACTTGGCAGGTGGAAAGTATTTAGTGAGGAACGCCTGAGCCAACTCATTCCACGTCGTGATGCTCCCAGATGGTAATGAAATCAACCAAGCCTTAGCTTTATCCCGAAGAGAAAATGGGAAAAGCCTTAGTTTGATTGCATCCTCGGATACTCCGTTATGCTTGAATGTGTCGCACAACTCCAGAAAGTTTGCGATATGCAGGTTGGGATCATCATGAGGTAACCCAGCAAATTGGATCGACTGCTGAATCATTCCGATAATTACTAGTTTAATCTCAAAATTGTTTGCTTAAACGGGTGGTCTCCTGATGCTTGAATAGAAACCATCGACAATAGGACTAGAGTAGTCCTTCAATGCTCTCTGAACTGCTTCTGCACCACCCATTGCATTTCCTCTGACGATATGCTCATTCTCAACCTCTTGATTTTGCACATCCAGATTGACAAATCCTGTGTTAGCCATAGCTCTTACAGATTCAGCTTGCCTCGTTTCCTTTCTCAATGGTCTAGTGGTTCGTTCGATCTCAAAATCTAGTGGATTAAGATCACCCCTACCTCTCGAACGTAAACTCTCCAGATTCTAGCTGAAAACAACAAACAAAGCAACCACAAATAAAAATTTCAGTAGACAAAAATAAAATAAAAAAGAAATCAAATTAGCAATTCAATACTTCGTATTGATATTAGTAAAACAAAATAGTTCCCCGGCAACGGCGCCAAAAACTTGGCAGGCTATTCGCAATTGTACGAAATCGTGCAAGTAGTAAAACTCAAGTAAACGAGTGTCGAATCCCAAGGGAACTACCTACCAAGTACCGGACTATTATATTGTATTGCTATTTGATTAAACTGAAATTTAAGATTGAATTTAATGAAAAAGTAAATAAACTAAAAACTAAAAATTAAGTACTAAAATAAAGGCAGAATTTGTAAACACTTTGGAGTGAAAATCAATATGACTAAATCTAGGGCATAGATTTCGCACCAATTTAATCCTATGTATTGACATTTGTTGTTAACCTAATTAAGCATATTCTAAAAGCCAAATCCCCTAATATTCCACTAACTTTCTCTCGAGCAATTAGCAAATTAACCCTTAAGCAACAACCCAAGTTATCTCTAAGTTGGATTTAGGAGCTAAGAGATCATAAAGTTCTATGGGATTTCCCCGAAGCCTCACAGATTGCGGTAACCTATCTCTAGCGTTCGCTCAATCTATGGTTTTATTACCTAAAGCAAATTAGGTTTCATCTCTCGATCTCAACCCAATCCATGATATCATTCAACTCTCGGGCCCTTGAGAATTGAAAGCATTACACACGATAGTAAAACTTGGAATTCATGCTCAATACAGAATCAACATCAACATCAATACATGTTCATAAATTGGGCTACATCTGTAGCCCTAGAAAAGAGAATTAGTTCATAATGAAAATAATACAATCCATCATTCTATTCAATAACATCAGTCTAAGAAAGAAAAAGATAAACTTCTCTAATTGGTGAACGAGAGCTCTTCGGATCTTGACCTCTAACTTGGTAGCCGTCTTCTTCCTCTCCAAAATCCCTCTTTTATTTTCTTAAAGACTCTCTTTTATATCCCTGGGATTCTTTTTTTGTGTTTAGGAAAAAGATTAGAAACTTAACCCATTCAGATTCGGATTAGGGTAGTGAATTAACACAAACCCCTGACCCATCGCCGCGGTGGTAATAATGGTCACCATGGTGATCATTCTTTACGTCCAAGGCATCCGTAATCTTCATAATTTGCACAAGTCATCAACATGAATATTGTAGCTTTCTGAATAAGCTTTCCAACGCCACTAGAATCGTTGAATTCCGATTTCTACAGCTCAAGTTATGACAAAAACATCAAAGCATACTCATGATGAAGGATTTCCAGATTTTCTGTAATATCTTCGACGTGCCACAACTTCCTCATTTTGACCCTGATTCTTGTGCCGTTTGTTCCTTTGCATTGTAAATCCTATCAACATCATTCTTTTCCCTTCAACAACCTGTTTGAGCCTGAAAACACTCAAAATGCACCCGTGATCCCATAAATAGTATTTATGAAAGAAATAATCCAAATTCCACACTTTAAGCACATTTTTCCATAAATAGACCAATTAAATCACTAACAAAATATAAACATTCAAGCTCTTATCAAAGATCGGATTGTTGTGTGTGGAGACTAAGTTTGCTTTGAGGCCTACAATGAAACAAGTGATCTTGATGATGGAAGGAATTGTTTCTATACCACCTCCTGCTTCACCATATCCTTCTGGCAGAGGCTAATTTCTGCATATTAATTAATTAATTATGCCAATTACTATTACATATTAATCTTGTTGTCAAATAAATTTTTAGAATTGTCTAAGATTAATTTACATAAATTTGAATTTATAATATCACATCAAATTTACAATATTGCAAACAAAAACATTACAAATGGCGCTAAGAAAAAAAAGTAGGATTTGGAGGAAGTGGGATATCTACTATGCCTTCCAACATCAATACAACTGTTTTCATTGAAGCACGGCGTGATCGCTCATATTGGATGCACCAAAGTCCCACTTTAACAATCCTTTCCAACTGCAGTTTGTCAACTTCTTCATTACCCATAATTTTTCCCAGCTCACCAGCCTGAAAACAATGGTAAACCCATTCTTCAAGAACAACTTCTTCCTCAGGTAGGGTCCAATCAACACATCTTCGACAACATATGATTTCTAATAGTACAATTCCAAAACTGTAAACATCTGCTTTGAGTGTGACGGGTAGCGTTCTATGCCATTCTGGGGCAACATATCCCCTTGTTCCTCTAATCCCTGTAAGTGATCTAGTCTGGTCAGGCCTTAGAAGTTTAGCCAATCCGAAGCCTGATATTTTCGCACAATTATGCTCATTTATGAGAATGTTCTAAGGCTTTATATCACAATGGATGATCCGGGTTTCACAATCTTCATGAAGGTAGAGGAGACCTTTTGCTACGTTGCAAGCAATATCCATCCGTTGATCCCAGCCTGGTTGCTTTTCTGGTGTAAAGAACAGACCTGCAAGTGACCCATTTCTCATGTACTCGTATACCAAGAGCCGGTTAGGCCCCTCGTGGCAGTAGCCAAGTAGTTGGACTAAGTTCCGGTGATGAGTTTTCCCAATTGCTGTCATCTCAGTCTGAAATTATTTTTCTCCTTCAGTTGAAACTCGGTCCAGCCTCTTAACAACTATCACCTTCTGATTATGAGATATTTCCCCCCTGAAAACTGTCCCAAATGCTCCTCTATCGATCTCTTCAGTAAAATTGTTAGTCACATTCAATAGCTCCAAGTAAGTAAATGATTTTAGACCAAAATCCTCGTTTAACCGAATTTTGTTTGAAATCCTTTTATATCCATGAACTCGATTCCTGTAAACAAGGACTCCAGAAATTATCAAAATAATGAATGCAAAAACAAGGAGTGAAACACTGACAATTACCAAATCTGCCTAGCCTCTTTTTTCCTTCTTTTAGGCTTATCCCCTTCTCTGGGGGCACCTACAAAATTTGAAACACCTACTTTAATGAGAGCTAAGTTTGACTCGCTCTCAAGTTTTATCCCAAATCTCAGAAGAAGTTTTTTCTTTCTGCATTTTCCATCTCTGAACATTGCAGCTTCACAAATACAATCTTCCAAGCATGCTTTTTCACATTCTTCATTGATTGGTAATGACAGAATAGAATATGAAGTGTCCTCCCATCTGGTGTTTGCAACTCTCTCAATACTGTAGTTGATATTTCCACTCTTGCTTTCGCAATTCTCCGTCAAAAAATTCTTTTCACAGCCTCCATCTCCACTAACTGTAAATCCTGGAAGACATTGACAGTAAATTTCTCCATCATTTTTAACACAATACCTGTTTAGGCGACAAAGACCCCTTTGGGGATGATAAGAATTCATAATATCTATATATTTGTTATATTTTCTCATGTTTTAATAGTTATAAATGCTTAAATCTTGGATTTTGATTATGTTTCGTATTTTGTGAAGTAGATTGAGGAGTTAATCAAATTGAATTCAAAATCAAGAGATTTGGAGAGGAAAAATCGGAGCTCAAAAAGATATACATTCCAAAAGCGGTTTTTGCTTAAAGCGTAGACACGTCCTGTTTTCCCAGAATGTTCACAAAAGCAGTCAACAGATAAAGCATGGGCGCGCCTTACTAGATCCGAGGTTTTTGACCTAGGGTTACGAATTTGTTAGAGAAAAAGGATATGTATGATAGCTGGAAAGATTTAGTTACCCATTCTTATCTCTAGGATTTGCCAAGACTCCCTATTAAGGTGGGATTTGCTTCATTATCTAGATAGGGTAACTAGATTATTCACAAGAAAAAATTCCTCTTCTCTTTTCTTTAGGTGTTCTTTTAATTATGAGTAGCTAAATACTTTTCTTCCAGCTGAAGGATAATTGAAGTTTTGGTTCTTCAAGAATTGTGAGATCTAAATAATTTTCAGTCTTCTTTTATTTCTTCACTATTTATATATCTTCTATATTTATTAAAAATTATTGTCTTGATTGATTGATGCAAAGGGCCTGTTGTTCAATTATCAGATTAATAAAATTGCCATTTAGAACTTTAAATCTGTAATTGTTTAAATGTTCTAATATTAGTGGTAAAATAACATAGTTGATTATAGAGAGATTTTCGATTTATGTTATGAAGATATATAATCTAGTCTAAATGAATCGAGCTTGTGTATTTGTTGGCTAGAATTGCTAGTCTCTCTAATTATTAATGCTGTCGATAGATTAAATCCTAAGAGCTTGTTTAGGGTTGTTTATTATCAAGGAAAGTAATCAAAGAGCTTGTTTTGGTTATCGAGAAAGTAAAGAGAGATAGGTTGTTAGAGCTTGTTAATAACCATAACTAATTTAGTGAAGAATAGAAGATTTTATCCTTGTATCTATGATCAATTCTTTGAACTAATTCTGAAATTATACCTTTGGTTAGATATTTGCCTGATATTGATTTCTCCTTGATTTTTAGTTGATTATAATTGCTTTCTTTTTATTTCAATTCGAAATTTCAAAACCCCCATTTTCTTTGCTTTAATTTTCATTAAAATAAATCTACCCAATCTCTATGGATACGACCTTGCTCATCACTGTTACAATTTGTATTTTTTTTTAGAGTGAGAATTTTATTATTTGTTGGATTCGACACCCACCAGGGGAACACTTATCATCCGAAGAAGCCCATACAACTGACATATTGCTATGATTTATTGTAAATGAGTACAGTCGAAAGATTCCATCCGCATCAACTTTCATCAAATAGTTTGTTTCTTCTATAGAATAGCCTCCTAGTATAAGATTTTTAATAGTGAATCCAATAGAATTAAGCAGGTAAAGATGGCCATCAGAATCAAGGTTTAGTGACATATTATCATCTCTTCCATTTGTAAAAGATGAATAATAAGCATATGCTGCTGAGTCTAGAGTATCCTTTGGGTATTGCACTAGGTTTCCATTGTGTTGCATCTTAAGACGAAAGATCCCCGTTCATTGATCAGTTTCAGACACACTTGAATACAACTCTTCTCTTGCCAAAAGGCTTTGACCTAGTAATATTGTATTAGTGGGGTTCCAAAAACTCTGCCATATTATCTCCTCATCAGAATTATAGAGAATAAAGTTCCCTGAATCAAGCATAGTAGCTTTTGCAATAGGTTCAGGAGTATTTACAATGGATGTTTCTTCGCCTTCTGTTGATTGAAGAATGAGTCTTCCAATACCCGTTAGAAATAAGGTAACGTTGGCAGGAACCAGTGGGATGTTGCGATTCGCTATCCAAACAACTGTCTTTTGAGGCATTCCTGCAATAAAAATTCCTACACAGAAAACATTCCCATGCTGATAGAATCCGAAACCATAAAAACCAGAAGGTGATAGCCAGGAGGAGTTTCTAGTGGGAGTTAGAGAAGAGCCTAGACTTATATTGAAATGCCGCTGTTGAGTTGTTGCCAAAAAATTTGCAGAGAGCAGAAGAAAAAAGAATACGATAGCAGCCATTTTTGAAGCGTATTCCTTCATTTCTTGCTTAATAACTAAAGATTTCAATTACAAGTTCATTTAGGACCATTAAGAACAGATCAATATTGTTGTGACTAAACTACAATACCACAGATCAAATATATCACACACGCCACAAAGAATATCAAGAATCAATCACAACACGGATTTTACCGTGGTTCACTTATCCAAATTGGATAAGCTACGTCCACGTTGAGTTCTGGAAATGGAAGAGCTCGTTGCACTACTTATTAACAAGATCCAACCAAGAACAAGTACAAACCCAATCACACTTAACGATAACAAGTAATCTTCACAGTAGCTAATCCTAGAGATACTCACCTAGAATCCCCAAGAACAAGAGCAAATAAGCCCTCCTAATTGACAAACAAATTACCTAATCACAGAAGTTACACATATCTTAGATGTTAGGGCCAAAAAAAGTACTTGACCCAAATAGGCCCAAAGACGAAGACACCTTCATCCAAGCTGAAAGCTCGAGCCCAACTCTGATGGGGCCCAAATAAGAGTTATGCAGATGAGGCCCATTCAGTATGCTTTCTCAGCTCCTCACCATCTAGACCCAGGCCTCCTGACCTTGGAACACCTTCTGGGCTTACGGTCAACTCGAACCCCACAGTTGTCTACGAACTACATTCCTACTTGAACTCTGCTAAAGAAGTCAATTACTATCCCAACTCCTCTAAGGTCCATACCTGAGGCATATTTGAACTCCCTTTCCTGCTGAGATAAGGGACCAAAGACTACACCTTTTGAGAGGACTACTATCACAAGGACTCCCAGTCCCACCAGGACTCGGAGGCCATACAGTCACTATTTAAATAGAGGTCAACCCTCTCACAAAGGACAGAGACATTACACCCTCAGACCCTGAAGTTCCTACTCTTGAGAACTTCGTGTTATAGCTGTAGTCACGATCCCTGACTAGACTTCCGGTAACCTTTCTTCTTCCTAGCCCTTACTAAATTAGCCTCATTCAGCCTTGCTAACTTGAGCGTCAGAATGCTTACGGAAAACACCACCCTGGTGTTTTCCGTCGCTTCACGCTAGTTTCCTTACCTGTGCAGGTGTAACAAATCACAAATGGCCTCAACCTCACGAGATCAGTCCCTTCTTTCGCATAGGTAGATTTTTACGCCTACAGTTTAGTGCCCACCGTGGGGTCTCTGGCAATCGTTCGTTTCACAAACCCTGTTATGTAAAGAAACTCTCAATGGCTGA